GGCCGGCGATGTCCTCGGTCGCGCACGCTACTCTGGCAGAGTACTCTGCACGGACCTGCGCCTCTGCTCAACGAAGTCGACGGCGACTTCGACGGAGGTTGTGGCTCTGCGGACGATCGCGTCGGCGACGAAGTCTACCCCGGGCCAGCTGCACGCTCGCCTTGCGCACGTTGGCATCGACACGATCAAGAGCTCGGCGAAGCATGAGGTCGCCACCGGTCTGGACATCAAGAAGTCGACCGCAGATGATCTGCCGTGTGCCTCCTGCGTCGGCGGCAAGCTTGCACGCCATACCTTCCCCAACCACGGATCGGACGCCAAGAACGCGCTCGACGTGGTGCACATCGACCTCTGCGGACCGTTTCGAGTGGCTGCCACTGATGGTAGCCTCTACTTTCTTCTGCTTAAAGACAGGAAGACTCGCTACGTGTGGGTGAGGCCGATTGCGAAGAAGAGCGACGTGCTGGTCGTCTTCGAAAAGTGGCTGAAGGAGGTGGAGCGGCAGACATCGACGACGGTGAAGAAGCTGCGTTATGACCGTGGCGGGGAGTTCCTCGGTCGCGCCTTCACCGACCTCGTCGAGGACAAGGGAATCCTCCACAATTTGACTTGCCCCTATACCCCCCAGCAGAACGGCATGGCAGAGCGGGAGATGCGTACAGTGGTCGAAGCCGTGCGAACGATGCTTCTACACATTGCGTAAAGCATCATTGGTGGAACCTCGCTATGCGGCAGGCCGTGTGGGTGTGCAACTGCCTCGAGCGGGCTTCCCTGCCGAAAGGGACGACGCCGCATGAGCTGTTGTTCAGAGCAAAGACGGATTTGACGCTGGCGCGCGTCTGGGGCTGCATGGTGCAGTTCATGGTCCCCAAGCAGCAACGCGGTGGGAAGCTATCGCCAAAGGCTCGTTGGGGTCTTCATCTCGGAGTGTCGCCAGAGAGCAAGGGCTGGGAGGTGCTCGATCTGACTGCCAACAAAGTCGTCACGACGGTCGAAGCGATCTTCTACGAAAACCTGTCGATGGAGAAGTGGAAGGCAGAGTACGGGCCGGCGTCGCAGAGGACGCAGTCTGCCCCGCCACCAGATCCCTCCTCGACGATGCCTTCCTTGCTCGCCGAAGGTGACGGGCATGATGACGAGGACGTCGAAGAAGTCCCTCTCCCCTCTGTTTCCCCGTCGGCGACTTCGTCGCCCTCCCCTCCCCCACCCGTCGTCGACGCCCTTGTGCAGGGATCCTCGTCGGTCGCCGGCGATGACGGGAGACTCGGTGCGTCGCCTGTTGCGCCCACCGGTTGCATCGCCGGTGGCCGACGTGACACTGAGAAGGTCCGCGACGGGCAGCGGCAGACGACAGGGGAGCAGATGACTCAGAAGCTGTCTGCGACGAAGCTGACTTCAGAGAAGCCAGCGGCAGAGGCGCCAGCTTTAGGGGAGCCGTCGGCAGAGAAGCCGATCGTGGGGGAGCAGGCGGCAGACGAGCTGCCGACAGGGGAGCAGTTCGACGACGACTCGTCGAGCGATGACGTGGTGGAAGTCGTCGGTGCGGCCGGCGGCGGTGAAGGGGAGCTGTCGACAGGGGAGCAGTCCGACGACAGCGACGTGGTAGAGGTTCCGCTTGAAGAGGCGAAACTGCGACGGTCTGCCCGCTCCAACATCGGCAAGCCGCCGGAGAAGCTGAGTTACCACACTTGTCTGCCACCGACCTCCTACAGCACTCTGCTCGACGACGCTGAGGCCGACGTCGTTCTGCCCGAGCTCGACCCCGACATGCACGCCGATCCGGACCATCGCTGGGACATCGCCAACATGACGGTGAAGGAGGCGTTAGCGAGCTGGAAGGGCGACGCAGTGAAAGCTGCTATGGACGAGGAAGTCAAGAGCCTCATCTCCAACGGGACGTGGGAGCTGGTCGAGCGTCCGCGCGGTGTCAACATCATGAAGAACCGCTGGGTGCTCATGACGAAGTACCACGTCGACGACACGGTCGCTCGCGAGAAGGCTCGTCTGGTGGTGAAAGGCTTCACGCAGGTCTACGGCGCATATTACAACAAAACGTATGCGCCAGTGGGGAGCTACGTAACTCTGCGGATCTTCCTCAGCATCGTAGCAGTCCTCGACCTGCACCTGATGCAGCTGGACATGAAAAACGCGTTTCTGCAGAGTAAGCTACATCGCGTCCTCTACATGTACCAGCCTGACTACTACAATGACAGAACTGGCCGAGTCTGCAAGCTGCTGAAGAGCTTGTACGGCCTGAAGCAGAGTCCGCTGCTGTGGTACTCGGCGCTTGACGCGGTGCTGACTGGCGCTGGCTGGCAGAAGAGTCAGGTCGACGAGGCACTCTACTTCAAGGCCGGAGATGGCGGAGTGATGTGCTGGGTGCTCGTCTACGTCGACGATCTGCTCGCTGCAAGCAGCAGCACTGCGATGCTGAAGGAGCTGAAGGAGCTGCTGGAGGCTGCCTTCGAGCTGCGCGAAATCAGCCCGGTCGAGAAGTATCTCGGGCTGGAAATCGTGCGCGACCGTCCTGCGAGGAAGCTGTGGCTGCACCAGCAGTCGTACGTCGACAAGCTGCGTCGGCGTTTCATCGACGAGGAGCAGACCGGGCGAGTGCCGAAGACGCCGGTCTCCGTCGACGCCTACGCGGAGCTGACGTTCGACGACGAGGAGTTCCAGTCGCGCGAGGAAGCAGAGTACCGGCAGAAGGTCGGCTCGCTGCAGTTCGCGGCCACCACGACGAGGCCCGACATTGCCTTCGCGTGCAGCAAGCTCGGATCCGGCCTGACTGTGCGGAGCGACAACCACTGGCGTGAGGTCGATCGCTGTCTGCACTACCTCGCTGAAACTCGTGACGCCGCTCTGGAGTTCGGCGGCGGACCAGAGTCGCTGGTTCTGGTCGGCTATGCAGATGCAGACGACACTGGCAACAAGCAGAATCGGACGAGCACGGGCGGCTACATTTTCATCTTCGGAGGAGCAGCAGTTTCGTGGTCGAGCCAGCGCATCAAGTGCGCGACGCTCTCGTCGACGGAGTCGGAGTACGTCGCGGCGACAGAAGCCGGCAAGGAGGCTCGCCGTCTGCGCTTCCTCCTCGACCCAAGGAAGCCGACTGTTCTGTACGTGGACAACCAGTTAGCGATCAAAGTCGCAGAGGGCTTGGGGCTCAAGGGCAACCTCAAGCACATGGAGCGACGCTACGCATGGCTGCAGCAGATGGTGAAGCGCGGGAAAATTGCTCTGCAGTACATCCCGACCTCCGAGCAGCCGGCGGATTTTCTGACGAAGGCGCTGCATTTTCCGGCTTTCAACCGGTGCTCCGTCGCAATCGGCCAAGTGCGTCTGGCCGACGTCGGCGACGGGGATGACGAGGTGCAGCAGTAGGTGCCGTGCCCTTCTGCACGGCTGGTGCGGTGAACTACGTGCTATGAGTTGGGTGCACGTAGAAGGATTTTCTCATTGTATTCTATCCCTCTGGGTTCTGGGCGACCCTTCTGTGTGGGGTGCCCAAGCGTGAGCGCGGCAGGGGAGTGTCGAAGGAAATGGCCCCGCCCTCGCTTGAGCGTAGCTGATCTCGCTGTAGACGGGAAGTTCGCGACGGATCGGTCGACGAAATGGGCTTCTGCAGTTCGGCGAAAGTTTTGGTCGAGCAGGCTCTGCTTGTCAGAGGTCCACTGGAGATCCCCGATTGATAGTAGGGAAGGGTTACAGGCACGTTGGCCTGGGGGGTTATGGGCGCACTCACCCGCTACACAAACAAGCCCTTTTATCCCAGTGGTTAGTGGCTGGGATTCTGACATGGTATCAGAGCGAAGGTCTCGGGTTCGATTCCCGGTGTGTGCACTTCGGGCATCCCAGTGCGGGGGGGTGTCAGAGGTCCACTGGAGATCCCCGATTGATCCTAGGGAAGGGTTACAGGCACGTTGGCCTGGGGGGTTATGGGCGCACTCACCCGCTACACAAACAAGCCCTTTTATCCCAGTGGTTAGTGGCTGGGATTCTGACACTGCTCGACGGAATCTGGTCGAAGCTGTGATCGGAGACCGGCTGATCCGGCGAGACATGTTCAGCTGTTACCAGGTGCGGGAGTAGGGATTGAGAGACCAGCGCTCGATCAATCCGCGAGCTCTCCTGGTGTGCCTGTGAGAAAAAGGTAAACTCTAATTTGCTTGGGTGAAGGGGAACGGAAAGCGTCTTAAATGCCAAAAGCTTGGCAGTGGTGGTAAAGAAAGTCATTCTCTCTGGTTGATCCATGTCTAGAGGTCTTATCAAGCAGTGGGTTCACCTTTTAAGAGTGTTTTGATCCAAGCTCAGGATATTCTTATTCCTCTCTGAAACGTAAACCATCTGCATGTTTACAGTGTTCGAGCTACGACCTTATTATTGAAACTTTGACCGAGCCTTGTTGCGCCCCGCTTTGGGATTCGCAGGGTCCATCTGTTTGAATAGTAGATGGTGATGTGGCACGCTAGGATTTGTGCTGATCGTCTGTGTCAACTGCTCTCCTTTCAAAGTGATTCTCCCCAAAGTCTGTCAGATCGCCCGCCCTCCATTTCCAAACACCTAAATTGCGACGCGACGACACAAAGCTGATCTTGTTACGTGGCGTCGCACGCGGTTGTCTGAGGCTGTGGGTTTGATTCGACGGCTCAATCGTTTGGACTATGTTCTCCCGTGGACGATCCATACGACCATGTGGTGTGCGACGAATTTGGGCCTCCAACAAGCATGGGTGTGCTGCTTGTTCCTCCAACCATCTCCCCCATTCCCCCTATAGCCGTTTTTGTGGCAAGATTCCAAATCAGGTGTAGCTCACTTCCGCCCGCACCCATTCCACTGACCTTTTTCCACAACAAAAGCACGCGCCCTTGTGCAATCACTAGGGGGGCTTTTCACACTGTGTTTCCTATGCTCAAGGCCAGCCTGTCAGAGCCCTGGACGCAGTGAAGTGACCAGCTACCCTCCGGTTCCCGTGTCGTGCTTCGACCCTTGCTACACTCGCCATGGCTGCCAACGCGTTTTCCACGGTGAGTGTGCCGATAAGGTCAGCATTGCCTCCTTCAATTTCGCCGCGTACTGCAAGTTTTCTGGCCGTCGCTTCATGTTTTGAATGCTGAAACACGACATATGCTCAGGCACTTCGTTCTCAACTTGTCAATTTCTCCCCCTCTCAGCTGACACACAGAATGCCCGTGGCGCCTCGCGCCCTCTCTGCCACAACGGCCGTGCGCGCGTCGCTGGACACGCGCGTGCTGGAGAGCAAGTCGCTGGGGGAGCTGCGCGCGCTGGCGCGCCAGCGGGGGCTGCGCGGCGACACCAAGGCGGAGCTCGTGAAGATGCTCAGCAGGCAAGCTTGCGGCTTCTCTCTTTCGTGCGAGTGCGGGTAGCTAGCCACGGCACCGCTCGCTGTTCAACGGCGTCCGAGCAGCAGCGGGTGCCGTCGCCGCGACGCGACGCCCGATAGCTCGTGTGCAAAATCGTTGCAAGGGTTCATTCGTTTTTGCTTGGCGTTGCACAATCTGTCTCTCTCTCCCCGCTCCTTTCCCCCGTCCCCTCGTACTTGCCTTTATCCTATCGTTTCTCTCTTCCCGCCTTCTCCCAATTGTTCCCCCCGAATGCAGCGGAACGAACGGCGCAGTCGGCGCCACGCCCGCAGCGCAGGGAGCGAGTCAGTCGGCGCAGGCGCGGCAGCTGGAGGCGATGCCGCTGGGGCAGCTGCGCGCCATGGCGCGGAGCCGCGGCATCTTCGGCAACACCAAGGCGGAGCTCGTCGCGGCGCTCCTGTGAGTGCCGCCTGTGCAACACGCCCCTTGCCGTGACATCGCCTCATGCGTCGTTTCCGTGACCGATGCTCGACTGTGGCGCAGCCTTGCTGTTGCACACGCGGAACAACTAACGACGTCTGACTCCGGACTAACTCTCCCGTCCATCTTCCCCCTGCCGCCCCAGTGCCGCGTCCGGTGCGCCTGCCGCCGCGCCCGCTGCACCGGCAGCCGCTCCGGCGCCGGCCCCTGCTGCACAGTACTCCGCTGCGCCGTCCGCCGCTGCGCCGTCCGCTGCTGCCCCCGCGGGCGGCAGCGCGTTGGCGCGGCAGCTGGAGTCGATGCCGATGGGGCAGCTGCGCGCCATGGCGCGGCAAAAGGGGCTGCGCGGCAACACCAAGGACGAGCTCATCGCTGCGCTGCTGTGAGCCCCTGGGGAATGGGGAGGGTTGGGGGGGAAGAAGGGGCGGGATGGGGGAAGGGAGGGTTGGGCGGGGTGATGGGAGGCAAGGGAATGGACGGTCGGGGCAAGGGGACAACGCGGCGTGAGTGCTGCGCAAGTTCTGTGTGGGATTTCGGTTGGACGCGCGCCGCTATGTTGTGTCCTTGAATCAACTTCAGATATCCCCCTCATCCATTCCATGCCATGCGTGCCCAATCCATTCAGTCCTCTTGTTATGCAAATGAAGGGCTTTAACTCGCTCCCACATTCCCGAGTCCCATTAACGCCGTGTCCGACATGTCCAGTGCGAGTGTCTCTGACATGTCTTCTTGTTATGTCCAGTCGCTCCCGAGTCATCTCTTCTCGCTTCGCCCTCACCCCCCACCCCCCTACCCCCCCCCTCCCCTCCCCTCCCCCCTCCCTACCCCCTCGTGCATCGTTAACAAACCAGCGGCACGTCATCCAGACCCTCTTCCGCCGCAGCACCGTCCGTTTCTTCTCCACCTCCTGCCCCCGCCGCCCCGTCCGCGCCCGCACCCGTCTCCGCTTCCGCCCCCGCCTCCGCTTCCGCACCCGCGGCGGCGGGCGTGAACCCGCAGGCGCTGTCGCGGCAGCTGCAGGCGCGGCCGCTGTCCGCGCTGCGCGCCATGGCTTCCGCCAAGGGCATCTCGCCCGCCGTCTCCAGCAAGGAGCAGCTCGTGCGCGCGCTCGTGTGAGTCCCGGGCGGACGAGGTGCGGGGATGGGGATGGGGATGGGTAGGAAGAAGGCAGTGGGAGGGGGATGGTGAGGGGTAAGCGGGGAGTAGCGGACAATAGGGGCTACAAGAAGAATGGGAGAGGAGCTGGCATTGGGTGACCAGTGACTTCCGTTATTAGTTGAGCGCCCCGTCTCTCCAAGAGGCGCCAGCAGACTTGCTCCTTTCTTTGCCCCTCCATCTCCCCGTTCTGTGTCTCCCTTTCCACTATTTCTTGTTCCCTCCTTCATCCTCAATTCATCACACCCTACCCTCCCACCCATCACTCCGCCCTCTCTCCCTCCCCTCTCCCCTCTCCCCTCACACCTCTCCCCTCCCCCCAGCGCGGCGGTGACAGCAACAGCGGCGGGGGTGACGGAGGTGCGGGCGGCGGCGTCAGTGCAGGCGGCGGAGCTGCAGAGGCGCCCACTGGCGGAGCTGAGGGCCATGGCCAGGCAGAGGGGGCTCCGCGGCGACACCAAGGCCGAGCTCGTTAAACTGCTGTGAGTGGGCTGCCTGGCCGGCTGTGCGAATGGGTGGGTGGGTGGGTTGGCTTCAGATTGTGGTGTCCATTCAGTGTGGTGGCTGTTGGAAGGGGGTTAACATCCTAAACTGGTGCCCCTAACCTTGCAGTCTTTTCCTTGTGGTTGCTATCATGCTCCATCTCTTGCCTTTTGCCTTCCTTCCACTCCCTCAACCGCATTCCGCCCTCGTTCCACCAACTGGCACTGTGCCTTTTCCAGAGCCTTCATTTCTTTTCAATCTTGAACTCCCTCCCTGACCCCCTCGGCCCAACTCCCCTCAATCCCCTTCGCAGCACTGCCAGCGAACCCCCCGCCGCCACTTTCACCGCTGCGCCCACCACCCCTACTCGCGCCGCCGCCGCCACTGCCACCGCAGCAGCAGTGGCAACCGCCACGGCCACAGCCACCCCCTTCTCGTCCGGCATCAGCATACCTTTCCAGTCCGACACCCCTGCTGGCGGCACCACGGCCATCCAGCCCGCTCAGTCCACCACAGCAGCAGCAGCAGACTCTGACGCGCCCACAATCCAGGAGGCGATAGAGCTGTTCTTCTCACCGGATGGGGCGCAGGAGCAGCAGGCGGACGGGCTGTCGGAGCAGGCTGCCTTCCTGCGCAATGTCATGGTGGCGGGTATTGGCGTGGCCGTGCTGCCGCTCATCCTGCCCATGCAGATGCCCACTCCTGTTGCTGTTGCGCCCTCCTCCCCGCCACCGGCCATCACCGCCCCTGCTGAGGTATGTCACAGGAAACCTTGGCCCTGCTTTCCCATTACTGCCTGCATGGGATGTGTTCCCATGTGTGCTGATGACTTCACGTCCACTACTTGCAATCTGTGTCTACCTCCCGTGCCCTTCCTCATCTCGTTACCACATGCCTTGGGTTTATCAGTCCAGTCTTCCTGTAATATGTTCTGTCTTCCGCTGCATCACTAAGCTCGTGTTCTCACCACCACACCCACCTTAAAGCCGAGTCCCAAGTTGCAAGGGTTTTTAAATCTTGATGCTGAGCGTTGCCTCTCTCTATTCATCTCTGCCCCTGCCTGCTCCTGCCATACGTGCAGCCCGTGGCTACGCCAGCGGAGCCTGAGCCTGAGGTGAAGGAGCTGTCTGCAGCGGAGTTCTGCCGCATGCTTCCTGCCTCGCTGCTCTCCCCCGAGGCTGCCAAGTTCTGCGCTGCTGTTGCTGACATGAAGCTGTGATCTCTGAGCTGAGCCCTCTCGGCCCCACTATTCAGCCCCCACCAAGTTCTGCTCTGATTTTTATCTTATTTTTCTGTCATCACGAGTGTCCTATGTCAAAGAGATGTGCTTCTTCTGCATATTAAAGATGCAGGAAGTTTTTGTGTTTAGTTCGTGTGTTTTTGGAGTGACTCCATTCCATAGACAGCATTCGTTGCAGTGCCGTGCACACTTATCTGGCTTCGAAACTCAGGGCCACAGTGAGCAGCAGGGCCCTTGCTAGGAACCAAGACAGATGCCTGGTGCTACATCACTTGAGCACAATCAACATAATTGGCACAAATAAATATCCAACACGGATATCTGGTGGTAAACGCAAATAGAGAACCCCGAATTGTGATTTACACAACTGGGAACGCAAAGAAAAATGATAAACCAATAGGGTTATGATGATCAGACAGGCACCTCTGGGAAACAGAAATAGATGCTGAGAAAGATTCAATCACACTACTAATCACATATATACAGAATGTCAGCAACACAAACACAAATTGGCTCCACCGACCACAAAGCAATGGCCATGCTAAGCAAGCCATGCTGCCCGACCCACACTCCCTCAAGACTAGTGACTGATCTCAGGCATTGCAGCACAGCACTCTTGCACCTTCACGCCCCCACAGCATACAAATAACACAATCACAGTGCACAGGTAGAATGTGCCCTCCTTAACCACCTTGGGCACGACAGCTTCGCTCACAGCTACCCCTTGTACTAGTAGCCAACACACTCATTCCCGTGCTGCAGCCTGCCACCCCTAGTAGTGATTCCCTTCTCTGCTTGAAGCAGCAGGAAAGGGAAGAAGAACACTGAACCACCTAGACTGAGCTCCCACCCCCAGCACAGCTCTGTTCCAAACATAACCCGCCACCAGCAGAAACTACCATCAGGGAAAAAGCTGTGGAGAAGGATGGGCAGACGAGGCGATCGAGACATGGAGGCCGGAGCATAGGGGGCGGCAAGCAGGTGCGAGGGGCGATGGAGAGAAGCGGGTAGTAGGAAAAAGTGGAAAGGGCGCAGAGCACAGCAAGGGTACCGGTATAAAGGGCAGGGGCGAGGGAGGCAAGGTGCAGTGAGAGCTTCCATCACAAGCTGTAGAGTCTAGTCAGTGCTGCGCCATGGGTAGATATGCACAAGGGTATAGACCACGGCAACAACTTGCAGGCACTGCGGTAGGTGTTGGAGGTGGGCGGGAGAGCTGTGTCAGGGAGATGGGCTGTACTGTATATGGATGAGGTTGTGAAGATGGTTTCAACTAGTTCACTGTCCTGCTATGAACCCGTATTATGCACTCCCCGTTATGCAATCAAATCTCTCATTGACTCAGCTTGAAGGTTCTCCCCTGTTGGATCTGAGGCAAATGGCCTCAGCGTATGTGAGATCTGTACGTTCTTCCTCATTCCCTCCTCAGCGTTTCTCTTGCATGAATTCTTCCCCCCTCATCTCTTTCCAACTGCCCTCCCGCACCACCACCGCGTTCACACGAGCCCGCACCCTCCTTACTCCCACTCACCCACATCCCCCTGTCCCTCAGGCCCCCACCTCGCACCAGCGGCGTTGAGCGCCAGGATGAGCGATCCCGAGAAGCAGCAGCACTGCGCCAGCGACCCTCGCCACGCGCCCTCCACCGCCGCCGGCACCGCGCTCGACAACGACAGCCCCTTTTGCGCCGCCGCCACCGCGGGCGGAGCCGGCGCCGCCGCCTGCGGGTTCGCCATGATGCACGCGGCAGCGCGGCGCAGCGCAGGAGGCGCGGAGGCGGAGGCGGCGAGCGCGGTGCCCAGCACATGGCAGAAGCAGCGGGAGAGCGAGAGCCAGCAGGCGATGCGGTACAGCAGCGACGCGCCGCGCTGCACGCCCCACGCGCCCGCCCGCCAATTGCGCGAGAACTGCCATGCCCACATGTGCACGAGAGACCACACGCTGCTGGGATTACCGACAGGGGGTACAGTTGGGTGTTCCCGCTGCAGCAGCCACCACCAATCGGCGTCCCGCCATCCGTTCCCTCCCTGCTCCCACTCCCGCCACCACGGGTCGTCCTCACCCCCGCCGCCCTCCCCGCCGGCGCCCCCGGCACCGGGGTCGCCGCCAGAGGAGCCGCCGCCCCCGCCGTTCCAGCTGCCGCCGCCGCCGCCGCCGCTGTTCCCCCAACCTCCGCCGAATCCGTCACCGCCGCCGTTAACCGGGAAATCAGAGCCGTCGAAAGACCAGGGGTCGCAACCGGAGAAGCCTGCGCCGTCCATCCCGCCATCCCAACCATCTGAGCCCGAACCACCGCTCCCGCCGACCCGCTTCCGCCCTATGCTGCGCGCGCGGAAAGTATGAGGAACCGTGACGTGCCACGTGTCAGTCTTACTAGGCGGCGGCGCGACCGCGTCTTGAATGGTAGCAGAGTCCGAGGTGACAAACGAAACTGGATTCGATGAAAACACGTATGAGCTGTACAAGGTAGATCCGTAATAAGGAGATCCAGCAACAAACTTCCCTACTGTGGAAGGATGTGCGTATAACGGGGTCGGGCCGTAAGCTGCGTCACGGCCAAGTATGTGCGGCGACCACTGGTGCGCCGGATGCGGAAGAGAGGACACGTGTCTTCCACTGCCATCCGCCTGCGTGGGCGTGACTGTACAATAAAACGTCGAATCAGGGAGCCGGTAGGCGGGGGAAGTGAACAGAGGCGGAACGCGACGCCCGCTGGTGAAGCAGGTACCGGTGGAGTTGCCGTCGGGCGGTAGCGACGTTGACGGCCATGGACTGACGGCAACGGCAAGTGTCCATGGCGCAGACGCGGGAGATGACGGGTCGGCGTCCGCGGGAGTGTGAGGCTTGCTGCCGCTGGTTGTGGACGCGTCGGTGGCAAGTGCCGTCGCTGCCGTGGAAATCGAGAGGCCGGAGCGTATGCACAAGTCGGCTAAGGGAGCCAGGGACGCGGCGGGGAAGGACATATGCTGCGCCGAGGAGAACGAAAGGAGAAAGGAGGAGAGGAGAGGTTGGCTTGCGAAGGACGAAGCGGAGGACAACATAAGCGCGCTTTCCGCCATGGCTGGTGGCTATCGCAGGCGGCCACGAGCAGAAGCCCTGGGCTTGTGGTGGCTCACGGCTGATTGCTCTAATCAGGGGCAGATCTCAGGCGAACTTAGACCAGCATAATGTACAACCAGAAGCTTTACGAGCAGAAGAGGGCAAACCTCTCAACTCGGTTGCCACTACAGTACAGCCTGGCTAGGCTAAGCCGAGGCTGGGTAGGAGGTTTCGCTGAGCAACCAAACCAAACAAGCCGGAGGTGGTTCGTTCCAAACCAAGCAGAAGAGGGTCCAGGTATTTGTGGGTAGCCCGCCCTTCTTGAGTGAGGAAATTTGAGCGTCAACATACGTGTTCCCACTGTGGTTTTTTTGGAGTGGATTATAATCTCGCCTGATGCCCCTCGATTGTGATTACCAACCGAAATTAGAAGCTCATGCTCGAGATTTCGAGCACACAGGTTGGCAAGGGGAACATGGTCGAATGTACGATGAATAATGTTGAACTACAGGGTATGCACGTTGCACTTGCCGAACCCAACCCTACCCGACGGTTCCGTGAGGGCGAAGCGAGTCTGTTCGGTGCAGAATCCCCTAAAGAACCCATACAGGAAGAAACTTGCAAACCAACTCCGCCAATTTTTAAAATCAGATTGTTCCCGGCTACTGCGATTCTTGGCAATGTCTTTAAAAAAAGATCGACTTGTGAAAAACCAGTGTGGAAACCTTCCAGTTAACCCCTTTTCATGAGCATCACTTAACATACATCCTTTCAAACTCGCAACATTCTTCGCCTGCAAAGCGTTGAGTCGATGCCGTAGCATTATCCCCAGAGCATGTGGTACGAAACCCGTCATTTTGTGAGCTGTTTAGATTCTGGCCAGTAAAACAGCTCGGAACATTATGGTTACCCCGATTTAACGACCTGCAGTGAACCCGTCAGATTCCATGGCTAGGCCCCTGCGAAATTCATCACCTGCCCTTGCGCCAGCTCCATGAACCAAGACGAGCCGCGAACATCGACTTGTACTTTGATTGGTGTAAACAATCCACCTCACAGTCAGGGGCAGTGTGTCACGAAATCAACGTGGCTTGCATAGATTGGCTAATACTCACCTAGGAAACAGCAAATTGAATCGTGGACCACGTGGCATAGCGTCGACTAAGACTCAACAGAATCTGTGTAATTGGCAGGCAAACCACATCGGCCAATAACTACTGATGAAACGAAGACCCATGCGTTGAAGATTCTTTTCCGTCACAAACAAACGAGCAACACTTGTGAGGATGTTGAACTGCGTGCTCCATCAGAGCATACGCTGTAGTGATGGGCGTGTTTCGTTATGAGGCAGTCCTCTATAATGATATCTAACAGGGTGACCCTTAAAAATAATTTTCAAATGGATGGAAAAATGACACTTTAAAATAATGCACTGGTCCACATGTTTTGAAGACATTATAGATGTTTATTTTCTACAGTTTGCATAATGTCATTGCAAATATTACACCGAAGCAGTAGCATATGTTATGAGAGCTAACATTTCCTTGCATTGTGCAAGGACAAAAAAAAAAAAAAAAAAAAAAAAAAAAAACAAGAGGCGACGGAAGTCGTCGTAGGCTTATGATAATTTTTAAACACACATAGTGTTTTTTAAAATTACGTATTTCGAAAGCGCAGCTGACTGTAACGGGAATTTGGCATCGTCGAAGCGCGCTAAACGCCCATCTCCAACTACAAATCGTGGGTTGGAGTTCATTTCCCTCCACCCACGTCTCTCATTTTTCAAACGGCTCATGCAACTCTCAGTTCCTCGAGCTCATTTTTAGTTTTCCGTTCAAGCTGGCTAGAACCCGCTCTCTACCGAGAGGCGTTTCACCTTCAACATTATTAGCCGACATTCTCAACCACAACGCCACGACGATGGCTGCTACGCCGACACTTAA